AGGTTGAGGTTGAGGTTGAGTTAGGCTCAGGTGTCATATCGCTAAAAAAAACAATAAATTCTGTTGAATATTAGTACATTATGAAAAATGAAAATGAAATTAATTGGGCATATTAAAAGATTTTTGTTTTTAGGTTTTGGGTAATTAGTGAAATTGGGTTGACTATAGAACTTAACGTTCACGTGTATTGACTCTTAATTATCATGCATATATAGTGTTCTCCTAATTAATCTAAAATTGACAAGTTGATAGTAAATGCATAAAGCTAATCCTTCAATGATATATTAGTACTTGGTCAAATGCTTTCACAGTATATAGTGGTGACTCTTTGGACTAAAAATAATAATAATTGGTAGACGCGTGGGAAGGTGAAAGAGAGCTTAGTCTACAAGATTGTCAATGGGTTATAATCGTTTTTTCCTGCAACACAAGAGAATTACTCTCTCCATACTAATTTATGCGACACATTTTAAATTTGAGATTTAAATAAGTCTATTTTTTATCATAATTTTTTCATTATCTTTTAAATATTTTGGATTGTTAATTATTGAGATTTATAGTACTTTTTACGTAATTTACAAATATATAGATTTCATTTTTTAAAAATAAAGATTTCATGCGCATTCTCAATCAAACTTAAACTCTTTGACCTCGAATAACAAAATGTCTCACCTAAATTGAAACGGATGAAGCAATTTTTATAGTACGTAAGTTTTTTCTTTTGAGGGTGTGTAGGAAATTTTTTTTATTTTTTTATTTTACCATGATTGATTGGTCAAAATTTTCAATAAGTATTTTATTTAAGAAAACAAATTTCTTAAAATAAGGAAAATGATGTTTCCAATTAATCAGAGAACACTAGTTTGTTAGTTTTTAAATACTTTAATTATACCTTAAAATATAAAATCAATTTAATCTAATTTAGCTTTATAAGTTAATTTAATTGACTTTTGATAAGCATAAAACAATTAGGGGTCGTTTGGTAAACCGCATTAGAAGAAATAATCCATGTATTAGGTAAGGTATTATTTAATACTATATTTAATAGGAATTTGAGTCTATGTATTACTAATAATACCATTTGGAGGTATTAGTAATACATAAGATATAATACCATGGGATAAGCCTATGTAAAGACAAAAATATCCCTCAAATCATTTTAATTATTTTCTTGATTTTATAATTTATATTTGTACTAGTAAATTTATTTAAATAAATTAGCTTACAAAACATTTAGAGAGAATTGTTTGTTACTAAATAAATTCAATACAAATTTGAAATGTGAGTATATGACGCTTGTGATCTTAATTGAATGTGTGTGTATATATATTTATATATATATTTGTGTGGTTTTCTAATTATTTGTATGTTGAAGATTTTAAAACATACATACATATTAAAACTACAACCTGCAATTTTTATGTGTAAATGTTAGATGGTTTATTCAATTTTACCATTGTTGACCGTCTTTTTGATTTTAAAAGTAGATAGTTTATCTTTTTTAAATTGAAAAATGACATTTTGTGAGTGATCAATTTATTAAGATGACAATTATTTATCCTCAAATAATTCAAGTGAAAAAATAGCAAACATGATAACAAAATTGTTCTTCTCATAGCTAGTTAGAAGGCCATAAAAAATAATTTTGTCCGGCAATTATCTACCTTGACCCAATTACCTAATTATTCAAGGGTATAATTGGAAAGAAGCTTTTATAGAATTTTAATTCAAACACAATATGAGGTAAGAAATAATGAATCAAACACTTGATAAAAATAAACTCTACATTACTAATTTCTACACTACTAATCTCTACTAATCTCTGTGTTATTAACCTTTGTACCAAACGACCCCTTAATATAAAACGCGGGAGTAATTTTTGCCCACAAATCATAATCTCCACCCAAATTACTCTTGACAAAGTCAGTGACCACACTTTTGTGATTTGTCGTAGTCAAAGTCTATCCCTCCAACAATAAAACTAAACAGAAAAAACAAATTAACAATAAAGTATTAATCCTATCCTTTTCTTTTTTTCTTTCCGCCACTTTAGAAAAATGAAAAATATTAAGAAATGATAAATCTTAAGGGCTTTCAAAATTAAATTGTAATTGATAAGCAAATTATAAAATTGACTTATTAGTATTGAGTTATTAAAAATTGGCTAAATCATTAAGCGAAATTATCCGTCCAATAAGCAGTCATAGTAAATACACCGACAAAATAAAAGAAAGCTATGACTTGTGTTTTTATAAAGAAATAATTAATTACAGAGAGATGATGAAGTTTTATTGGAAAAATCATAGTAGCTTAATTGTTCGATTATGTTAACTTTTGTCTCTTATTTTCCCTTTTTCCTACCCTTAATAATTTCTTACTATTTAAAAAAAAAAAAAAAAAACTTACTCCCCTATATGTAAGTGAATAGAAATATCTGAAGTAGATAAAGTAATGATTATTATTTTCAACGAGATAAAGTAATCTATGTTTTTTTTTTAAAAAAAAGAATGATTAAACTAATCTATAAGTGACAAAAGGAAAGGAAATATGTTTTTGCTCCAAAAAACCAAAGAAAAAAGCGTCAATTTTATTGGACTATATGAATTTGCTTTGTAAGACCATTTTTTAAATTATATTGTCAAAGTTGGTAGGCTAAAGTTTACCTTTAAAAATAGTTGAATGAATTATTTTATTTTTTAGTGAACAAATTTAGCTTGCTTAGCAAATCGCTGACATAATCTAAAATAGAACCTTCTTAAAATGTTATTTGTGAAGATCATAGATTTATTTAATTATTTATCTTCTTTATTAATAAAAGATAAAATATTACATTAATTTCAATATATATATATATATATATATATATATATATATATATATATATAAAATAGGACAAATTACAGAAATACACACATTTTGTTTCACTTATTTCCATTATCCCCTATTACTTTTTAAAATCTCCAAAATCCCTTATTTATTTGATGTATCCGAGCTGCATATTAATGTATCCAAGCCAATATTTAAAGTATTTGAGCTCATATTATGTATCCGAGCTAGTTTTTAATGTATCCGAGCCAGTATTTAATGTATTCGAGCTACATATTATGTATCCGAACTATTTTTTAATGTATTCGAGCTACATATTAATGTATCCGAGACACCATTTAATGTATCCGAGCTACATATTATTGTATCCATTTTTGTTATTTTTTAAGGAATTAATGTAATTAGAAACTTATTAGAAATAGATTGTAATTTCATATTAAAACTATGAGATTTATGTAATTTACCGAGAAAAAAATATACATGTATATGTCAAAGAAGACAAAAGATACAGCTGGTAGCGGGGGCCTACGATTTGGAAAGATATCTCATGGTCCTTGTAATTATTTGGCTGGGCCTTTAAGCATCAAGAGGGCCCAGTGGTCACATCACTATTTCCTCTTTTAAAGGTTCAAACGACAGCGAATGGCAAACGAGGTTTAACTTTATAGGCAACTTAGGCGATTGGCTAATGGAACAAGCTAAATACTTCCACTCTCGTCCCATTTTTTGTGATATTTTTTCATGTTCACTCTTTTAAAAAGAATATAATTAGAAGAATTTAATTTTAGAATATTTTTTTATAATTTAATTTAATGATATATAAACCACAAGTATCTAAGAATTATTTTAGACTATAAATTTCAATTTTTTTATTAGTAACCGTATCAACTCAAACGGTGACCATATAATGAGACGGAGGAGTTTCAATTTGTTTGTAGCACTTTTTATTTTATTTGTTTAAGAAAATATTTTTTAAATAATTTTTCAATTTCAACTATATATATATAATATATGACTGGGGAAATTTTATTACCAAGTGAAAAATCAAGCTCAAAGAAACAATTGATACGTTTTATGTATCTTTTCATTAATATCACAAAATTTTAAAATTCTCTTTAGTTTTTAAAATTTCTTGACAAATTAAAATTACACAATAAATTGAAACGAGGACTAGAAAATGACCTGTGTCTTTATCTTGAAAGAACACTCCCTGTTGGCTGCTCTGCCTTTTCCATTACTTAATTATTACTTCTTCTACCCTTTTGCTTTTGTCAGTAGTAATATATTTATAACATTTGACCAATTCTACTATATTCCTTAAAATATGAGGGTTGTTTGGTTAGAATATAAGAGAAATTAGTTTCATATAAAATCCTCTTATTATTTTCACAAAATTAATTTTATTTTCGGGTGAAACGTATGTTAAATCATAATTTCTTCTTCAAATATGATTTTCAACTTTAACTATTACTTTTCAAATATAACTTAATTCCTGTCCAGATGTCCACTAATACTACTTCATAACTTTTAAAAACCAATTACAGAAATTATACATAATTTAATATGAGATAAAAAATATTTTTTGTACTACTTGATAAGAGTATCTAAAGTCAAAATGCACTTTATTAAATAAGAGAATTCCGAATTCATCACATAACAAATTACACAATATTCTTCATCATATAATATCTTTGTATTATTAGCTTTACTAAAACACACCGTACATTATAATTTGTCACTATAAACGAAACATCCCTTACTGAACAGTTTTAGGTAGTTAATATTTAAAAAACAATGGTAGTTGTGTGGGGTTGATTGACGACTAGACAAAGGTTAAAAATTGCATCTCTATGCTTAGTGCGGTCTTCTTTGGAGTTTTGAGACTAGTATTATTATGTGTTGACTCTTGACAAAATTGAGCTCTCTCATATATTCAAGAAAATCTTCCACGCCTGCTTCTACAACCATAATTATCATATATTCAGTTGAATTATTGTTTCTGAGGTTCGTCAAAGGTGTAAAGATTGTAGCTTTAATTAATGTTTTGGTTATCAAAACCAAATAATTGCGAATATGAGGATGTTTTTCCAGTCTTGAGGAGAAAGAATTGGGTATTATTTTGTTTGGGTAAAAAAGAAAGAAAGTTTCTTTTTTGACCATTTATCCTCGTGTAGAATTGGGATTAGTATTCGCTTTTGCTGGGAATTTGATGAGGTTTTTGAAACTGGACTTCAGTTTTTTGTTGCTGGAACTGTAAAGAAACAATTGGAACTATACAGAATTTGAGTTTTCATCTTAAGCAGAGAGGGGTTCTTTGTTACTCTCCCCTAGGTATGGATACTCTGCATCTTACCTATTTGTTTAGGTTTTGGTGCTATCAGCTATGGATACCAAAAGAAATTCTGAATTGCTTGTTAAGTAATGTTTGTTCTTTTTGGCTTTTCAATGTCAACTTTCTTATTTCTTGAGTTAGTCTGTGAAAAGGGTTGTGAATGAAAACAGATGTAGTTATGCATCTGTGGATGTGTATGTTTTTGTGTTTCTTGATTATTTTGAAAGTTGAAGAGAGAGGAGAAATTGAGTATTCGTACGGATTTAAAACCTGAGATATAATGGTTTTATTAGTAGAATTTTCATTCTTTATGGATTTGTGTATAGATTTTCTCACCTTTAACTGAACATGATACATGGTGCTCAACCATCATGTTGTTGTATGACAAATCTGTTTTTTGAATTGTGTGACTTGACTGTTCTTGTGTTTACTTAATTAGGCTATGTCATGTGTGGGCCTGATTCTTTTTATGTGGAAATAGTTTTTTGCTCTTTGGGTGGCCGTGAGATTTAAACCCAAGAACTCTTGCTAGCTCTGATACCTTATTGAATTGTGTGACTGTTTCATCTAAATGCTTTAGAGAGAGCACCACTTTTGATTGCGTGATTATATAGGTTGTTGTTCATCAGAAACTTAAGAGCGTAAACACAAAGCTCTTGCTGTCAATTTATGCTAATGAAGCCATGAATCCTGATATAGAATCATTGCGTAGTTGTATGCCTAAATAATTTTATTTTTTTTGGAAACATTTCTATTTCTGTTGAATTTGTCCTTCGTTCATATGGATTTTCATGTCTTGTTTTCTTCTCTGTTATATTCTGACTGGCTGATACTAGTATTTATTACTAAAATTTACAAAGTAAGTTTTCTGCTCTTCTGTAACAGAATTTCCTTATGGGGAGTGATGCTGCTTCAGTTGCTGGGATACCATCTCCTCGTGACATTAAGGTATATAAATCTGTGCTCTTCCATCCGTTCTCTTCTTTAGCTCCTGATATTATCTCCACACTTTGTTTAATTAAGGCAATTTACTCTCAAGTCATTCTATTAATCACAAATGAGATGTGTCAAAAATTCCGGATCTCACCCATCTCTAGAGCAACACTCCTCTTAATCTTGGTGCCTTCACATTAAGGAGGAGTAATAGTCACTAGTCCTTTTGCCGTATAAAAAGAGAATGGAAAAAGATGTTTTCTGGTAATGGAGTTTTGCATGAGTCAGCTCTGGCTCCTGGTGAACTATAAAAGAGTTATTTAACTCTTGGAATGAATCTTCAGTGAGGATGCTAATTTAAATCTGAAATTTAAAGTGGTTACCTCTTTGCAGCATTATTCTGGTTTAAATTTTGTTCTTACGAGGTTGCAGATTGCTAAGTTTTGTTCATGGATTATGTACCTGTCAAATTTCATGGTTTCCTTGTCATTATCGAGTCCCATTGTGCTATTTATTTTTAGCCATACAAGCCTTTCTATGACTAAAGATATCCTCTATTGGATGATGATTACAGGTGCATCGTCTAATGTGCATGGAACTAATTAAATTTGTTACTGGAGTTGCAATGTTGCTTCCAGCAATTGAAGAAGCCCGTCCTGGATCCAACCCTGGAATACAGATACTTTGCCAGTTAACCAGAGCACTTGACAAAGCCAAGGACATTCTTCAGCATTGTAGTGAATCCAGTAAACTATACTTGGTATGCATCTTTACTCAATCCTACAGAACTAGTTCTGTCTATTTGTTTAATTAAATACATATCCCATTAACAGAAGATTCCTTGCTTCAGAAATTAGTTGAAAAGAGTGTATAATATTTGGCTAGTGGCTGGCATTTCATTGATCGTCAACATCTGTAGGGGTTTTCCAGTGTATTTTTTTTATTACATTTCTATATATCATAGGAAGGGAGGGAAGATCCAAAGAGTTTCAACTACTAGCACACTTGAAGATCATGCAATTAAGTGTAAAATTGTAAATGCTGCAAGTGCAATCCTTCTTTGTGTTATTAATCTACCTGTTCGGATAATTAATGTGTTCATTCATACAACGGAAAATTAGTCTTAATAAAAATTAGCACCATATTTTCAGGCACTAACTGGAAATGTTATACTTTCAAGATGCAACAAATCAAAAAAATTGCTTGAGCAAAGCTTGAGCTGTGTGCAGAATATGGTTCCTGTAATGTTGGCTACACAGGTGAGTCAGAAAATTTCCGTTTTAGAGATTTATCTGTGTTTATTTGCTTTCTTTTTCTGTCCATCTTGATGGCAAAGACATTGTTGGTGTGTCCTGATTATTAATTCTACATCCAAGCCAGAGTGCATGCTGTTTTAATCGAAAATAACTTTGTTGTGTTAAACTAAATGACGATTACATCAGGCTATCCATTTACTGTTGCCAGAGCTTTTTGTTTTTTTGATCCTGCGCGCTCGTCCAATTTATTTCCTTCATAATTAACTTCAAAGCTTTTCTTTTCAATGAAAGAGAAGAAGAAGGATCACTCTTAAACTGTGGATTCTTTTTTTCTTTCTTTCCCTTTCTCTACCTGGTTGGTTTCTGTTTCTGTTCGATGGCTCTGGCAATGCACTTCAATGACATTATTGGCTGCAGATATCACAACTGGTTGCTGACCTGGGGGCTGGGATATTCAGCTTGGACCCATCTGAAGAGGAGGCAGGGAAGGTATTGAGCAAGCTACTTCATCAGTATACGTCTACAACTCATTCAGGGGAAGAACATGTCTTTGAGGCTATTCAAATTGCTATGCGGAGCCTGCGTATCACATCTCCAAAAGATCTTTTGATAGAGAAAAGATCCATCAAAAAACAACTGGAGAAAATTGGGGAGGGTGATCCACCAAAAAGGAAAATCTTATTGTTCTTTCTGAGTCGTCTCAACAAAAATGGCAAATCTATCGTGGCAGAGCACACAGAGAATGGATCTCTGCAGCATGAGGACTCCCTTGAATATGAAGTGGAATCTCGTCTGAAATGTAATCATAATGATGCTCAAAGAGATATCTTCAACGGCTCTCGACTTCCGGATGAGTTCAAATGTCCTTTATCATCAAGACTAATGTATGATCCTGTTGTCATTGCTTCTGGACAAACATATGAAAGATTTTGGATTGAAAAATGGTTTGCTCAAGGTAATGATACATGTCCAAAAACTAGAAGGAAATTGGTCCATTTGTCGTCAACCCCAAATAACTCAATGAAGGACCTTATATCAAGGTGGACTGCAGCACATGGGGTCAGCGTTGTTGATCCCAGTGTACAAGCAACAGTAGGTCACTCATGGGAATCATCTTCCACTTCAATTGCTAGCTTGAGCAGTTCAATGATGGATCTATCTATAAATATAGACTTCAGCAATTTATCACTGGGAACTTCAGATGCTAGTTTTGCATCACATGCTTCGCATTCTAAGATTTCAAATGACTTTCATAAAGGTCAATCTCGTGAAAGCATACATGAAATGGAACTGGAGCGTTTAACGAGGCTTAGTTCACTTTCTTGGGAGTCTCAATGCAACTTGGTTGGAAATATCAGAAACATGTTGACACAAAACGGTGAAGCTAGCAATTGGATGTCATCGGACAATTTTATTCAAAAACTTTTCAGATTCTTGAAAGATGCACATAAATGTAATGATCAGGATGCTCAATTATTGGGATGTCAGTCATTATTAGCAGTTCTAGACGAATGCGGGTAAACCTGCTCTCTCTCTCTCTCTCTCTCAGTGTCTGATTCTTTATCGTAGATCGAGTCCCCCACCTCAGCGGATTAGTAAAAGGGTAACTGCTCAAAGAACCTCTGTGGCAACAAATTATTCTAACAAAATCTCTGCTAAGAAATCCATGCAACAAAATTTTGAAATCCCTTTCAAGTAGTTACTTTTTCTGATGAAATGTGAACGTCTTATTTTTTTTAACTCAAAATCCAATTTGAATTTCAATTAATTATCTTGATACCCTCGGTGTTTAATGCTTCTGGGCCTTTTTGAAATACTAGAAAGTGAGATCTTCTATCTTATTCTGCTTCCACATACTGATCCTTGTATGGTTCCTTCGTCTCAGAAGCAGTTTGCCATACTTGAACGATGACGCATTTGCTCTTTTGACCTCATTGCTTGGTTCGGTGGTTTCTAAGGAAGCTGTTGCTATATTCGAAGTGTTGTCCCGCCACCAAAACTGTCACCATAAAATTACCATGTCTGGTGCACTACCTACTCTCCTGGAGATCCTTGATGCCCACAGTAGAGAATTGCAGGAACCAGCCATCAAAATATTATGTAACATGTCAGGAAGTAGCAAAATTGGTTCCTTGATTGCACCTTCAGAGTTGGTTCCTAAATTGGTTCCTTTTCTTGAGGATACAGCGCTCGCAAGAAATTGTGTCATCATTTTGCATAATTTGTGCAACAAAGAAGATGCTAGAATTGCTATAGCTGAAACTGATGGATGCATTGCAGCAGTTGTGAAACTGCTCGAACGTGACAATCGCAAGGACCAGGAACATGCTGTGGATTTTCTTCTTTCTTTATGCCTACAACGGGTTCAATATTGTCAACTGGTAATGGAAGAAGGTGTCATCCCTGAACTTGTCTCTGTATCTATTAATGGAAACAACAAAGCAAAGGCAATGGCTTTGGAGTTGTTGAGACTGCTGAAGGGAGAATTTAGTGATACTGGAGAATCTTACGAACCGGAAGTCTACATTCCTAAACCCCAACCCCCTACCACTGACTTTACTCAACCGAAATCTCGTTCCCAAGGAACAGGAATTTTTGGGAAATTTTTCTCGAAACGTAGTTCGCCTAGGATAAATAGAAAGTAATGCGGTTTGAAGATAGTAAGATACATTTTTGCATGGTAGGATGTGTATAATTTCACAGGTTCATCTAGTTTTTGTTAGGGAGAGGCATAGACACTAAGGATTCATATTGTTATAGCTGCTTGGGATAGAAAGTGTAATTATAGTTTTTGTTTGTATTTAATTGATTCAACATTTCACAGGACAACATATTCAGGTGTATAGTGTATTTTGTATGTACAAATATGATAAACTTTTCAAAGAGATGTCATTTTTTGATTAAAAAGTTGGGAGTTGTTAGGACACAAGATGAATGAATATCCATCTGTGTCCTCTAGTTCCCTCATCTTCTCAAGTTTTAACAATTACTCTGTTTCTTCCTTAAGTTTTTTATTATCGTTTCATTGACTTATGCCTTATGGTATAGCCTATTTTGGGAAAGGTTGAAACAAGGAGATCATCATTCTTGTATAAGTAATTTTATTATGTTAAATTAGTAAAGCATTATGGTCATTTTTCGACTTGGCATTGTTTATTACTTAGACTTGGACACCATCATTATTAATAAGATTTGCAAACATATCACACTGATTACGTTTGTATCTTAGTTGCTCAATTGACTGGTCACTTCAATAAGAGTTTTATTTCCTACCCCATAATAATTTCTCCAAAAAATAGGTAGGAACATATGTTTTCCGCCATTCTACCTTTCTCTTCTTTTTTTTCCAACTCCAACTTTGCATTATAAAATGTATGTGTCTAGATTTCTATTTTGTTCAATTTTGACGAGCGAGTTAGTTCTGGAAATTGACTAATAATAATTGGGAATTTCTTGGTGTGCTATACTTGTTTGTATTTAGTCCTCTTTTTGTTTTGGCTCTATCTTATTTAAAAGTAATCTTATTGCATTCCTAGTAATGGCAAGGAAATTTCTCTTTTTTGTTTATTCCCTTCTCCTCAAACCTCAATACATACATAATTCAAATACAACACAACATGTGAAATTTGCTTGTTTTTATTTGTTTTGTTGGACAAAGAAATATTTATTTCAAAAAAGCTTTTTGACCTTAAAAAACAGTTTTATGGTATTTTTAATACGAGGATATAAGAAAAAATCATGTATAAAAAGACATTTTTGTTTTCACCAAGGTTTCTGGATCTAAAATGTTGTAACTCAAACAAGGTGACCACAATCTATGTACATGCACTTAGGCATAAAATTGCAGATTTAAATGGACATAACAGGTAGACTGGTAAATTGCGTAAGTTCTCCTCTCCCTTGACATAGTAACTTTCACGTGATTCAAGAAGTTAAGTATATAATATATATTTGCTGGTCTAATATGTCTATTGTCAAAGAACTTCGAGATGTTAAAAAAAAAAAAAAAAAAAAAAGACTTTGAGATCATCGTGAAACAAAGATAACGTGTTTAAGAATTGCCAAATATTATTATTTATAAAGAGCTTTGGGACAGACAAAGTTACCCAACTCTCTACTATGTATATCTAGGTGGAAGTGACCGGTCCAAAACATCAGCTTCAACCAGATACCAATTCAACACAAACAATCTGAAATTTCCAAGGGACTATTACACTTCCAACAAGAAACAGCTAGGGAAACTTAGTTAAACGAGACATTTGACGTATAGCTTCCACAACCTAGGGAAAACTTAGTTGTAAATAGTGATATATATGCAAAGGGATTGATAGTGTTATAAACTAGATGAATAATTTGAACGAATGGTAAGAGCAAGATAATTGATTATGATGACCAAGATTAGTCATTGAAGTACTGAAAAATTGGTGTCTTTCAGAGTACAAATGCAGCTTTGAAAGGTAGCAACTCAAGGATCTAGACTGAGAACTTATGCTCATGAAAAAACATTGGAAAGGGATTGTATGGATCATAATCACTAAAGCGCATGAAAGTGGCTCTATAGATCAACGAAAATTTACTCAATTTACGTGGCAAAAAGCTGAATTAACAAATTTAAAAGATTTAAGGATAATATTAGTACAAAGAAACAGTAAACATGAGAATGCTATTGGAGAAACTGGCACAACGAATATTCTCATTTATACAAAGGGCCATGCGTTGAGAACTTTCTTTCTCAGGGATTCTACTTGAATTTGGAGAATTACGAAGCAACCAAAGAGAAGAAAGGGAGCTTATCTTGATTTGCAATCTGCATGAAATCATTCACAGGCTGGTTTCGTGTCAAAGCTGCTTAAGCAGATTGCAAAAGCTTGGAAAGCAGAAAGTGGATAGCGGTAGTCCATGGTGAAGATGTCTTTTCCAATTTTTCCAAACTGTAAAATTACTTTTTCTTGTTCTGCGACTGGTATATTGTGAGATGGATCAACTGCTGCCACTAGCTGAAAATTTTTCACAGAAGCCACCGTAACACGGCCTTTAAAATTTAAGCACCAGCACTGCAATTGTTCATGCCACCTAGGAGCCTTGTTTTTTAGCACAAGCAGCTGTTGAGAAGTCGCTGTCGCTGTCACTGCTGACCTTGAAATGCCAGAGGAGCTGATATCCATGGCTGACTCCTTTGCTATTGCGAGTGGTCCAGAAAATGACTTCTCATCAAAAGATTGTGGGAATGATTTAGGTGTTGGAGCACTGCCACCCTCCTGGATTGAAGACAAGGGGATAGAGTGCATGGCAGAATGCATTCTCCTAGGTCCTCTTGTACGAAGAACATTGAGTTCATACGAAATGGTAGCTACTCTATAGTTGCACGCAGGTACTCTTGGAGAAACTTGTTTTGCGTGAAATCTCCGACTGAGACGACCAGGTTGTTGAATGGCTGCATCACTTGGAGGTTGGCAATCATGTATAGAGAACTTGGTCCCAAGAAAGTTAGATCTGGTCAAATTGTTTTCAAACATTATTAAAATGGAAAGTAGAAGCTTTTCTTTGCCTCCTGCTAATTTAAATATAATTGGAAATTTGATTGAACTTGCCTCAGTTTACCGGCATACATATTGCTAGCTCGAGAAAAATCATCTGCAACAAATGATATCACAAAGTCTGTGCTTGTCGCCCTTCTGATTTTTTTGGCAGACAACAATAGTTTATCCCTCTCATCCTCAGCTGTCGTGAAGTAAAATATCAGTTATGCATCTTTCATTGACTTGGAAGAATTTCCGATGAAAAAGATAGACCACAAACATCAGTAGAAGTTATAAAAGGTGCTGAATTTCCGATCTGGTGTACTAATTTGATTGTAAGATACAATACATCAGCTTAAGTGCAAGTTCCCCATTAAAGATGGATCTTAAAATCTTTACAGGACAAACAGGATAGGCAGACGATATTACTTACATGGAGTCATGCCAAAGTAGAGACGATAAACTGAATTAGCTCTGTCCCGTTTAATAAAGCACTGGATTGGGGATTCACGGGGACCCGGCTGGTTTAAACATGGAAACAATAAAAGATACTATCTTTTAATATCAATCAACATAAAAAATAGACATAGAAAGGAAAGTGAAACAGATTAAGGTGATTACCTGTTTCAGTGAAATGGGAAAGGTAAGCCTACCACATTCCTCAGGAGTCTTAACAATCTCCTTGGTAATTTCCCTCCATGATTTGCAAACAGATGCACAAAAGAGAAGGGCGGATCGAGCAGGCCATGATGCCTCACTCTCTTCAACCCTGCGGATGATATCCAAAAGAAGTTCAGGTGGTAAATTTGCCCATTGTCCTTGTTCAATTGGATCAGAAAGGGCCACATCAGGGACTATATGTGACCGGGTTCTGTTGCTCCAATGCTTTCTTTCTGTTCCCCTCCTTGATATATTCCCTATACCATCTTTCATCTCACGAACAATGCTCTTCAAAGACATTTCTATCAATCACATCAACTACACCTTTCCTTCAAATGGAAGAGTAAATCAATTAGAACATTTTCACCTTCAAACCATAACATTAATCAAGTCTGGTTCAACTCGGACCCATTTAATTTCAATTCAAAATACGTCTTTTAAGACAAACTACAAATGTTTTCATCAAAATCAATAGCTTTGGTGAGGGAGAAAAAAAAAAAGATCTACAAGAATGTCAGAACAGGTGCTTTATGTCATTTCAAGCCTATCCAAAGTTTCAAAGCACTCAAATTCGGAATTCTGAGATCCCGCAACAATTTTATTTTTTAAAAAAAGAGAAATTCAAAATGTGAGTTTCTTTACAAAAGCAAAAAAAATAAATACCCAGGAATAAAAAAGCGAAAAAAATTCAAAATGTGCGATCTTGTAGCATTTCTATACTATCTCCGACGAAAAACCAAAAGCAGAGCCGACATGCAGCTAGGAAGAGAAGAAGAGATTAAGAATATGAAATACATCCAGAGAACAGAAATGCATCAAAACACATAAAAGGGTAGGAGAAAACCTAAAAAACACGAGTTACAAAGAAGATGAAATCGTTGAAAGCAAGCTGCGGGATGCAGAGATCGAAGAAGGAAAAAACGCGGCGAATGAGGTGGAGGTCCTCACTTCTCAGGTGGAACCCTGGGTCGGCAACGCTTTAGACTTTATGTCATGTCGCCGGAAACACCAGTGGCACCACCACCGAAAAACCGCCGTTAATTCCGCCAACAAATTGAAGGAAAAAAATTCACGAGCTAGGAAGACGAAAGGGGCTTCTTTGTGTGCGTATCTATCAAAGTTTTCCCACACCCAGATGTGTCAAAAATAACAAAAATGGTCCCTCATATTTGACGGTATTTATAAAATAATATCTTAAAAGTATTCACTAAACATTTCGGTGCTCAAATTTCTCGAGGCAATGCTCTATATTACATCAAATATAGTAGAAACTATAAAAAATTATATATCTCTAAATGATGTAAGTTTTTGCTTCTTTTTTTATTATTATTATTATAGTTCTATCAAATTTAATATATAGTAGATGTAGTGTTAGCGTATAATTGGAAAAACTTACTAATTATTTTTTTGAATTTTTAACATCACACTTATTTTAAGATAATTTTTTTAAAACTAAAATGTCACTT